GAATTCAGATCACCAATTTTCTGGTTCATCCAGCAAGCAGCTTGTTTCATCGAACCAAGCAAAAGTGTGAAAACAGCCATTTTGAAGTGTCGTTTGCAATCTGCGCTATCGAGCGATTCTCACAGCAGTGCATGTTTGATCAATCAAATTTTTGATCAGTTTGATCAATGAAACGTCATCATATGCAAAACAAGTGAACAATAGCTGGTCAAAATGAAAAGAGTGTAGTGATTTTACAGTGGAAGCACTCAGTTGCATGAAATACCTTCAGAGTTGCAGCTGTTCTGCTGTCTTTCGTTTTGTGATTGATAGGGCGATTCCAGGATTATTTCGAAGTACAAGATGTGCGTTCGATTCCGCGTTGGTACAAAATCTTCATGAGACTTCGATGCTGTTTTCAGAAAATTTTGCAAACAGAAAGAAATTTAAGGCGGTTCAATTTTTGTAGATGTTGACTGAACTGATAGATTTGCAGGCAGTCTGATACTTGCGAGCAGAAGCAGCGCTTTGATTCAGCCACATCTTCCACCTACAAAGCGCAACGCACAAAATGGCAAATACGGTATGGAGAAGGTGGTTCGTTAGGGATCTTCGGTGAAGACGTTGTTCGTGTGAGTGCTTGATTTTGTGCCGTTCTGCTCTTGTGATAACCAGTTTGGTCGTTAACTTTATTGTTCACCTGATCCAACAAGACATGGACATCGAGTGGTTGTTTTGTCAATCGCTGTGAGCGAGCGGCGGAACATTTACTTTATTGAAATCATGATTATTTATTTGAATGGTATTTGGCTACGACGCTTAATAATGCAAAATATTCACGGCTTTCAACTGCTCAATTATTCGGTAGTGTTCTTTCGGTTGGCCCGCTTCTCTAGCCAGCGGAGTGGCTAAAATTAAGGCTAAAACATTTAGTAAGATTCTTATTTAACTTCACAAAACTGATGGAATCTGTTGACTGCTTCAGTTCGGCGGGAAAGGATCGCATCAATTAGTAGTCCCGAATACGGTATTTGGTCAAGCGTTAGCAGTCAGTGAAACGTTCAAAGCGTTCGAAATGGACGGAATTCTTGGTCTTGGATTTCAATCGATCGCTGTTGGAAACGTTTTACCACCGTTAAACAATGCCTGGAATCAAGATCTCCTTGATCAACCAATTTTTACCGTATGGCTTCAGCGTAGGGTTAGTACGGCTTCCTAACTTATCAATCCTCCGAACGCTTATCGTTAGATTCATCGACAAACACGCTCGCCTGGCAAAAAA